CCAGAATCTAAACATTCTGAGGCAGCAAAATAGTTTTACCCTGGGTCAACTCCTTTCTAGGATTTTTAGAAAGAATGATGCCTTCAGTTCTGAGTGCATGGCCAATGGAAATGACATCAGTATTCCAAAGAGATAGCTTTCCCCAAATTCATTACAGGATAATTTACATCTAAACAAGCTAAGTGCATATTTTCAGATGAAAAAATAAATGAAATATTACCATGATGGTTAACTTTAATTATCAACTTGGCACAACTTAGAATCACCTGGGAAGAGTCTCAGTGAGAGACTGTATGGGATTGGCCTGTGGGCATATCTGTGGGAGCCTGGCTCAAGTTAATTGATATGGGAAGGCTCAATGCACTGTGGGTAGCACTGTTCCCTAGGCAGGGAATCCTAAACTGTGCATGAGTGGTTAGACCAAGCAGAGCACAAGCGAGCAGGCAAGCGAGCACGCGAGCATTCATCTCTCTCTGCTCCTGACTGCAGATGTGGGTGACCAGCTGCTTGGAGTTTCTGCCTTGACTTTCTTATAATGTAATCTGCAATTGTAAACTGAAATAAAGACGTTGTACTCTTAAGTTGCTTTTTTGTCAGAGTATTTTATTACCGTAGCAGAAAGGAAACTAGAGTGATCACTAAGCCTTAAGAAGAAGGAAATCTTGTCATTTGTATAATGCAGATGAACTTGAAGTTATGCTAAGGGAAATAAGTCAGGCACAGAAAGACAAATGGCACATGATCTTACTTATGTACGGAATCCTCCTACAGAAGTAAAAATGCATGGAACAGAGAATTGAAAGAGTGGCTTCCAGTGGCTGGGGTCGGGGAAATGGGAGATGTTGGTTAAAGGCTACAGACTTGCAGTTATAAGATAAATAGGTTCTGCGAACCTAAGGTACAACATGATGGCCATGGTTAATAATGTTCGTGGAATTTACATCATGCTTATGCTTGAAATTCATATATATATATATATATATATATATTCATTAGCTTGACTGTGATCGTCTAACAATATATGCAACACATTATGTATTCTGAATGTATATCATTTACACTCATCTATTAATCTTCAACAAATGTGTAATAAAAATAAAAGAAGGAGCTTTTAAGTTTTATGAGGAAAGGTTAATTTCACTTTTATAAAGTCAGTTTGAGTCTCCCCAGTGTAGTTTGGAATTTGGATGTGGTTTTTCTTGTCAAAGTCTTTTGGATGAGGAGGATTGAACCCAGGGCTTTCTGCATGCTAGGGAAGTGCTCTACCATTAAGCTACAATCCAGCCCATAAACTCAAATGTAGGCTACGGATGCTGCACTGCCGTGAAGGAACCAGTGGTTCCTGTGACAGCTTTAGGGAGCCTGGGTGGTTATAACGTGGCTCTATCCCTTTGTTCCCTGTAAGCCTCATTATGCCTCTTCCTTGCACATGCCCACATGCCCTTCCATTTCTCAGCCATGCTGTGGCAAGGTGCATATCCCTCAGAAGATGCTAAGTAGGTGCCAGCACCAGAGTCAACAAAAAAGTGAGCTGAAGTAATATTTTTATATAATGTATCCGGAGTTGGGAAGTTTATTATAGCAACACAAAACAAGCTAAGAGCCCCGTCCCGTTTTTTTTTTTTTTTTCCTGAAAATGCCACAAGTGTCACGTGACACACTTGCCAGGGTAGTTTTCCAGGAACCTTTTTAAAAATATCATTGTTCAAAAAGATGTCTTTTGGATCATCTCTGCCTGGAGCCAGATGACCTTCCAGCTTTAATTATCAATCTTTTTATAAAAGTGAAATTTCGGGCCTGGAGAGACGGCTCAGCAGATAAGAACACTGTTCTTGCAGAAGATTCAGGTTCAAATCCCAGCACCCACATGGCAGCTAACAACTGTCCATAACTCCAGGTCCAGAGGACCCAACAATCTCTTCTGTCCTCTGCAGGCATTGCACGACATGGGTGCACTTACCTACATGCAGGCAATACATGCATACACATAAAATAAAAATAATTATAAATTTTTTTAAAAGTGAAATTTCAGCAGTCTGCCTTTGAGTCTGTGCTGGTACATGACCCTCTCCAGCTCTTCACTCAGTAAGGATGGAGAGAAGGCAGGATAGAGGAGACCTATAGGAAGAAGAGAGAGCTAACCATTGCTGACTTCTCCTATGTTCCCCCCTGGACCCTGGCTGCCTCTCTGTGGGATTTTCACTGGCTCCATTCAGCCTCTGGTAACTACACTTCTGATTCTTTGTTCTGGAGTTTGTTATAAGAAGTCACGATATTCTGAAACAGGCACTCTGAGAAAGGTTTAGAATCGGAAGATCCATGTTTGTGCCTGATTCTTACTATCTGTGTGCTCCAGGGTAATCATATAACCACTTATAACTTGATTGATAAATTAGAATAAGATCCACCTCTTGTGGTTCCTATCAGACTCAAGTATATGTATAGAAAACTCCACAGGTGTAGGTCAGATTGCTCTTAGTCATTAATATTAAAATATGTGTCTTTAATCACAAAGGGATTGTGGCAGGGCCAAACATCTATTACAAAAGATTCTTTTGCAGGATAGAAAGGTTACTGGAGACTGACTGCCTAGCTAAGGACTGTATTTCCCAGTTTCTTTTGCATTTGAGTGGGTAAAAATGACTAGCTTTAGTTAATAGAATGTGAGCAAAAACCAATCTTACTCTGGCCTCAAAGCAGTTAGATATGTGTGCACCACTTCCAATTGGCTTCCCATCTACAGATGAACAGAGACAATTCAAAAGCCCTAGAGACCGGCAGAGTTATAAAACAAAGGAAACAGAATCCCTGAATCATCTTGTGGAAGAAAGCCACCTGCTGACCAAGAACATCCTCCTTGGATCACTGCATGAGTGAGAAATAAACTTCCATTTTGTTAAGCTACTGAAATGTTGGGGTTGATTTATTATGACAGCTATTATGCCCTAAAAATAAATGAGAAAAAGGAATGGGAATGTTGTGGCTCAGCCAGGAAAAGGTGCTGAGAAAGAACATGCATACAGTGACTGGCAATGCCCTCTGCATACTGACAGGGACACAGCCTGCAGGATCCAGGCATCACTAAGGGATGACCCCCACTGTACTGTTATTGTTGTCGGTCAGTTCGTATGCGTCATCTTGTGCATGTTTACACACACATACACACAGCCCTTCTGTACACATCCTAAAATTTCAACATTAAAGCTGGAAGTAATTGCCTTCAGAGGCCATCTCTTCCTATGATCCAGGAGTATTCACTCAAGAACTGATTTTTGGTGGCATCTGGACTCACACCCAGGGCTTCTGTCCCCAGGCACATGCCTCAACTGTCCCCCGCATTCTCTAGGGTTAGTCTACTTGTCTCTTGACATAGCCTAACATCTGAGTGACCTGGAAATGCCTCCAAGCAAGGGAGAGATGGGCACAGATGGGTTTCCCGTTTTCTTTTAACTAAGTTCATCAGTTAAAAGATATTTTTCATTCTCAACTTAGCTAAGACCATCTTCCTATTTGATTGGTTATTGTACAGTTTTGTAGTTATCACTTTCACATAGGACTTGTCTTCCTAATGCTACATTTTTAGCCCAGTTTGACCAGAAATTTAAGCCCAGGTAAGGGCTAAACTCCACAGTGCAGAAAGAGGTGTTTTTTTTTTTTTTTTTTTTTTTTTTTTTTAAATCTGTGTTTTTTGTTTGTTTTGCGTTGTTTCTTCAACACAGACCATTCCTTAGCCTAAAAATCTCTCACCTGTATAAGCGGGCCACAGCTAGGCTTTGCCTCTCTTCCCTTCTTGAGCTCCACTCTGTGGCCTTCTCTGGTTCCGTGCCTTCGAGCATCGTGTTTCTTTTTGTCTGTTCTTTAATGCCGAGTTGTCTCACCAAATTAAATCACCATTTACTCTTTCTTCAAGGCCCTACTCAAATGTTCCATTCTCTATGAAATCCTCCCCAGTTCCTCCAGGTCAAGTCAGTGCTTTCCCATCATGTTCCCAAGGCCACTCTCAGAGCACGCATGGCACAGAGCTGCCTTTTTCGTTTGCAACTTATTGTTCACGTTTCATATGCTCCTTCCTTACCTGAGTCATTTGGGCCTAGATGGACTCAGTGCACACCTGCCCATCCGCAGGTTCTCCCCTTATGCAGCCCACACCCACCTACAAAGATTTCTGCCTCTTGGAAATGCCTCTCTGGGCATGAAAAATTGGCTGTATTCTCTCAATTGAGAATTTGCCCTCAGACACAAAAAGAGAAGCTTCAGTTAATTCTGGGGAGTGGCGCTGTGAGTAATAAAACAGCATCAGGGCTGCTGACTGAGCTGGGCTTCCAGAGAAGCAAAGAAGAGGGAACCCCAGGAGACAGAGGGAAATGACGAGGTACGCAGATAGACGGGAGCAAGGACGGGAGAGAGTACCTGGATGGGAAGGTGGGATGGGTAGTCTCAGTTCCTCGGGGCTTCCTGCTTTGGGTTCCGCCAAACCCTCCCCGACCAGGCTTCAGAGTACCGCTTCCCTTTATTTCGTGGACCATTTTAACTAGTTTGTTTTTTCATAATTCAAAGACCTTTATTAAAGAAAATTTTACTTCATTCCCCCAGATTGTGACTTTCTTGTGGTCAGGGACTAAATTTTTGTATCACCAGAATGTAACTGAACATATGGATGGTATTTACAGTATGTTTTTTGACTGAATGATGAACAAATGAATGTTAACTCTATGTCCACTGGAAATACATATGGAGCACTGGCTAAATACGGCTTTCCAGCCAGAACCCTGCCCTGCTGTACCTTTCTCATGCAGAAAGCTCCTTCCCCTTTATCTCACAATCCTTAATCCTTATGTCCTCCAGCTTTTTAAAGCTGAAACATTTTTGCTTAAAACATACACGTCTGGCACACTGGCACCTGCATTCCGGGATGGAAGACGACGCCTTTACTTCAACTGCACCTGCCAAGACACCCAAGGCCCCCAGACCATTCACTGAAGAAACCAGGGAGAAGCAGGCTGTGTGTAGAGAGATATAAGTAGAGCTTTTATTTTTTTTTTAAACCAACCCAACATTTCCACCGGCGACTATCAACATAGCTTACGACACAAGCACTGTTTCTTTTTTATTTTTTTTCTTAAAAAATGTGTTTAAAATTAAACAGGTATTTTAATTTTTTCTCTCTTAGAAAATGTATTTATGTCAATGCAGAAAGCCTAAAGACCTGTGGGCAGTTTTGTAGTGATGTTGTATGTGTGTGTGTGTGTGTGTGTGTGTGTGTGTGTGTTAAAGCCAGGTCCTTTCAAAACTGATCAGGAAAAGGTCTGTAAGGGAGGTCAGTCCTCATTTTTCTAGAAGCCAAGGCTCCGTGGGAATATGAAAACTAAGATTTCTCTTAGTGGGGCATGAAATACCCCACAGGCTGGGAAGAAAGAGCTTTATCAGGTTTAAAAACAAGCAGGAACGTGGGAAAATGAGGAATTCCAGTTCCTATCTTGTGAACATGCTTTCAAAAGTGGTCTGAGGGCCAGGAAAGATGGAAGGAGCCCCTGTTCTCTTACAAGCTTCTAAATTCTCACATTACTTTCCTCAGCTCTCTGAGTATGGCCCACTAGCGAGTGAGGGGGTGTGATGCAGGGATTTCTCAGAAACACTGACACTTTGGGAACAGGGTATGATCTTCCACCTTAGCGATCTCCCTGGTTGGATATCTCTTTTCTCCTGCCTCAGACACAACCCCAATGATATTCAAGAAGGTTTTATTCCTTTTTGTTTTCCCAGCTTCTCTTTGTCAGGCTGGACCATTCTTATTTTTGTCCCATTTCCCCCACTTGGTGAGTCTTTCTTTAGGAGGGCACACATACAGACACTGACACACAAGACACACAGAATTGGGAAGGCTTTGACAAGGAAGAGAACAACTTCTCTGTGATTTTGATTTCATTTCAATGCAAGCAGATAAAATTCCTCCTGCTCCCCGAGTTGGTATGTGCCACTCAAAGGCCATCGGTCTTCTGAAGTACTCAGGGAACAAAGGAGGTGGGAGATAGGACCTCGCTAGAGCCAAGGTACAGCAGCGGCCCTGTGACAGCGGCCCTGTGAGAATGGGAGGGTGTGTCAGACAGTCAGTCGTGCCTTTATCAGCTCCAAAGGAGCTTGGAGGAACTTGGAGTTCCTTCAGGGCACCATTGTCACTAACTTCAGAAAGAAAAGACAAGTCAGTAAGCAAAACCTGACGGGAAAAGGAAGCAATCACAGTCATGATCACAATGATACTAGAGCATCCAAACCAGCCACGTGGAGATGGTTTGTTCTCACACCTTGCCAGCTGAGTGGGAGAATCACAATGCACCCTGGAGACAGGGGAAGTCCCTGCCCTCCTTGGGAACCAGAGGCGAAGGAATAGTTGGGAGGGGGGCTACAAGAAGGAGAAGGCTCAAGGACACGCGTGGGAGCATGGGGTAGAGGTGGATTTGTTGCTGTTGTTGGTTTGTGTTTAATTAAGTACTTTGGAAAGTGGGTGTCTGTCTCCTCCATTCCACTGGATTGACTAAAACTTTGCCCTTTCAGTGCAGTGCCAGGGCTTAGGTCCTGGAGCTCGGGTCCTGATGCTGCCTCTCCAGGGCTGCTCAACCTGGAAAGGTCACTGGTGGGGAAGTGCCCTTCTCTTAGGAGAAGTCCTAGGCCTGCCCTGTGGAGGCCATGTTCTGGTGGCTCAGAACCCTTTGATGTAGCAATAGGCCTCCAGTGTGGCAAAGAGTATGTAAAGGAGCCACAGGCTCACAAAGAGCCAGGTCGTGGCAAGCTTGCAGCCACGGGGACCACCGAGCTCCCCGCCCAAGTGCGGCCGCCGTCGGTACAAGAGCACACTGATGCAGACAAATGCAAAGATGGTGAAAAGGGTGACAGAGAAGGCTAAAGTGCCTGCGGACACATGGAATTCTTGTCCTTGCATGGCCCAGTAGATGGCAGCCACGGACCAGGCCAGGCCAATACCCAGGAAGACATTGACTGCGTTGCTGCCGGTGACGTTGCCAATCGAGGCGTCTGCATACACATCCTGCAGGGCAGCAGCTTTGCTGGCAAACGTATCTGGAAAAGGACAGAGACAGATGGGAGCTGCGGAAGGCTGGGATACCGTAGGTCTCGTCTTTGAGTATGCCTCACAGGCAGTTCGGCCACATGGGCTAAGGGGCCACTTCGGCTCTACCGTTCATGTGCTGTGTGGCCTTGGGTAAGCCACATCATCAATCTAGGTTTCCTGTTCCTCATCAGCAGGTATCTGAAGTGTTTCTAAGGGCTATTCCAGTCCTGACATTTACCAAGTGGGTCTATCATTCTCCTTTGAGTACATTTTCAGGAAAGATGAGTTAGCCAACTCATAGCATTTGCACAGGGAAGAGTGACATCTTGAGAAGCAGCTTTGAGTCTGTGCCTATGGACTCAGGACTGGACATTGATTTAGGGGGACAGAGAACATGCTGGAGAACCATGACAAGGACATAGAGTGAGCTGTAGACTCAAGGGAGATGGGGGAGGGGGACTCTGTCTTTGCAGTTAGCATGTGAATCCCAGGGCCTAGGAGGATGCTTGGCTTGAGATCTTGTCACAGATTGTAGGTACAGAGAAGACTGCCAGGGACATCTAGCCCAACCCTCATATTTTGTAGGTAAGGAAAATATGAACCAAAAAATCTACACAAGGACACATAGGAAGTTAGCTAGAGAATTGTCCCTAAAACTGTCCTGGAAGGGCCCTTACCATACCAACTACCTACATACAAAGAGCTTTAGCCAAAGTCATCAAATCAGAGGCATGAGCCATAGTATATCCTTCTGAAGGCCTTAATGCTATCAGTTGCTTTCTGGACCAATTCCCAAGCCTTGAAAGTGCCCCAAACTGTATCCTTACCCAGTATATTCTCATATCTCATTGTTGCCAATTTCTCAGACCTTTTAGAGAAAGCCTCTTGCCCTTTCTTGACTATGACCTTGCAGTTTTACCTCTGATCCTGTACCCATGTGTATTCCCCTCCCCTTCCCTCTGATGGTTTGGGTGTCTCCAGGCCTGGAGAACAGTGAGCACAGGACATCTCATCTGTAACTTTATCTGTATCATTTCTTATCAACTGACTCATTTCCATAATAGCCACACTTCTTACGTCACTAATGTACAAATCGTGCCACACGTCTGTGCTAGGCTTTTGAAACGAGGATTTCCTAGAGTGTGATGTAGATGCAGCACGATTATTAGTTTTGAGTCTCAACTTGATTAGATTGAGATTTCCTGGAGGACTGGTGGAGCACATCTATGGGTATGACTGTGAAGGGGTTTCCAGAGACAATTAAATTGTGAGGGTTGTGACCGAAGGAATGGATTAATTCATTGATGGATTCATAAATCGATGGCATTATCAGGAGGTAGGTAAAAGGTAAGGAGGGACCTAGTTGGAGGAAGTGTGTTGTTGGGGTCATTTCATAGAGTTTATAGCTTGCCTCGGCCATGCTCTACATTCTCTTTCTCTGCTTCACCAGGATGTGAACTGATTTTCTCCCTTGCCATGATGGTCTGATGCCTCTGAGACTATGAGAAAAATAAATCTTTCCTTCTTTAAGTTGGTCTGTCAGGATTTTTGTCAGAGCTAGGCTAAAGTAATTAACAGATGCAATTAATCTACAGAAGTTTCTTTGGTATAGTGAGGGCTGTTCTTGACTTACTCTACAGACTCCTGGTTGATGAGATTCAGCCAGAGTACTCGAAGCTAGCAAAAGTTCAGAGTTCAGATACCATGGAGATCCCAGGTGAACTAAGGAGGGAGCCTGGGCTAATGCAGTCCCTCTGTACCTGCTACCCATTGCTCCTCATTCAGGCCTAGTTTCCATACGGCCTACCCTGACCTCAGCTTATCCCAAGTCTCCCAGTTTTACACCTTCATTTCATAGGAATTATTAAGATGATTTTTAATTATTTGAATGTAATCTTGACTAGCTTTTAAACCAAGGGTAGAGATGGAAACATGCCTGCCTTGCTTCCTATAATAGACTTGTAAGTAATATAATATTATATTGGGCATCACAGGAGCTCAGCAAATATTTGTCTAATGAATGAATTACTGAAGGCTTACTCATGTTTGTTTTTGGGTATTTAGAAGAAGATACAGAGTATGTAAGTCCTCGCATGAAAGGACAAACCTCACTAGGTTTCTTGTGCCTGTCCTGATAGGAGACACTTACAGGTGGCCACAGAAGCAGAGGAAACCAAGAATGAATGTGAGCATTTCCACAGGGATGTCTTCAAGTGGCCTAATCTTTAGTCTCTCAGAGGCTGCCAGGGGCAACTGGAAGAAGTACTATCTATATGGTTTGAATTACGTTGTTTATGACCCCTTAATGTAACGTGCAGGCTGAGAAACTGGGCCATTTACTTGGTCAGGCATCTTAACCTTGGTGGACCTCAGCTCCTCATCTGTCCTGTGGGTATAAGTTTGCTTGTCTGATAGGGTTTTAGTGAGCACTGCAGGGTCTGAACACGTGAATTGTTTAGCATACACAGTGCCCCTCACTTCGATGGTGAGATGAGGCAGAGTGTAGAGGTCATTTGAACCAGGGGATATCATCTTTGCAAACTGAAGTACTTCCCACTCTCACCTGGCACAGAGGTGCCAAATGCCACGAAAACAACAGCTGTGACTGAATCCTTGAGCCCAATGGTGCAGCCGAAGTGGGAGGCCAGATCCCCGATGATAGCAGTGAGCATGCCAATAATGAGGATGGAGACCACAAAGCAGGCCCAGCCGTGGCAGTACTCTGTCGGGGGCACGCAGGCAAACAGCACCTTCCAGAAGACAGTCAGGAAGTGCATGACATAGTCAAAGCAGGACGGCAGCCTTTCCTCTCCTGATTCATCCTCATCCTCATCCCCTGCTGGAAACAAGATAGACAGGCCCCAGAAAGGGCAGTGAAGTCAGATCCTCATTTATGAGAAAGTCAAGTCCAACCCATGTTAAGACACACTGGGTCAGCAGGGGGCTGCAGTGCTCCCTGGATGGCATGTGAGGCCCAGGGTGTGGACACTAGAAAACAGTTGAGGGACAAACAAATTGGTCATGTAGTCACTGAATACAGGGAACTAAGTGAGCTTGGGAGAAAGCGAGCAAGCAGAGGAATGAGGAGAACAGGGAAAGAGATCAAAAGACAGGGTCGGAGAATAGAGACGGACAGGAGGGCTGAGGAGAAAGAAGGCAGGTGGAGTGGGGGAGGCTGCATTTGATTTTCTAGGCAAAGAAAGCAAAATTGGTGGTGTGCTTACTCCTCATTAGGTGCCAATGGGATTCCTCTCGCAATTCCTACCTGACTACAGCAATAACCGCCACGATTCTGTCATTATCCATCCCCAGAGGGCCGCTGCTATTACGGATCATGGAGGTAGATCAGAGAGCCAGCATTCAGATACCCCAAGGAACAGAGAAGGGATGGGATCTGACTGTTCTTTCCAGGAAATGAAGGCACACGCATCCCTTCAGTACATCCAGCCCAGGAAAAGCTATGCTGAGGTACCTGGTGCTTCAGCACAGGCAACTTCTAATGTTTTGTGTTTGGAATCTGAATTCTATTTCCACATTTGCATGAAGGAAATCTTAGCCAGGGTATATTGCCTATAGTTTCTGAACCTCAGTTCCCTCCTTTGTAAAGCCAGATAGACTATGTGGCCTACATTCCTTTTGTTGTTTCTTAAGGGGCACAGTCAGCTCATCAGAAAAGATACTAGCAGGACCCATGTGAGAGCAGGGAGACAGAAGCAGAAAGCCTCTCTTCCTGGCTGTGCTTTTGCTCTGGCTTTGGGGCCTTGGGGATGTGACCCTGTGGGTTGCTATGACAACAAAACCTCATGGAAAAAGACAAGGCCAGTAGTGCTTGTCAGTACAAGGGAACTGCAGTGAAGCTGAGAGGCAATGCAGGGGTGGCTGGGAGACCCTGTCCATCTTCATTCCAACACATCTGTAGGCCTTCTGGTTGGGTGGGAGTTACTATGGCAGGCCCATTGGTAAATGTCAAGGAATCATCCAGGGTGGAGGTTTGTCAGGGGGTCAATGCAAAGCATTTTGACAACTCCTGACCCCCACCTCGCTAAACCAGAATTCTCTTTCATTTTTACAGAAAATGGAGATCAATTAATGAGAAAATAAGGAATGATAGAAACCAGAAAGTCCAGTGTGCACATTTTGTACCTGATCTATTCTTTTCTGCCTTTCTGAGAAAGGTAGCAATAGTTGTCCTCTGAGCTGAGGACACTGAGGGCAGAGAGAATACTTGTTCCAGCTCACACAGCAGAATCAGGTCTTGAAGCTAGACATAACCACACTTTTTTAGTTACTCAGTGAAATAGGTCAGTATCTAGGACCAGAGCCAGGAAGACTGACCTTGGAGCCCTCCCAGGAGCTGGTGAGCCACTAAGGGGACCATGCACTTCCTTCTCAGGGGCTGCCTGCTCTCTGAGCAAGGCCATCTTGGGGTCCCTCTCACCTGCACTGACAGTGATCGCCTCCATGAACTGGTCCCTCCAGGAATGGGTCCCCACAACCAAGGCCAGGTTTGTTTTCTTGATCAGTTTGTCCACTGTGCTCTGTCATGAAGAGAAAAACTTGGAATCATGAGGTTAGAATTCTCAGAACCAATGAGGAGTCTAGTATTTCAAAGGGATGAAAGATGCCCTGAATTCCAGGGGTTCTGAAAATTATGCATGACATGGCCTTGGGTGGTATCTTCTGGGAAAGTCCTTCCAGTTCCCTTTCTTTGGTTGTGACTTCTGACACTGGGCATTCCGAGCAACATAAATACAGAATAAGGATGAGATATCAAATAGACCTTGCCCTGAAGTAGTGAGTTTTAATATCTTTTAAGATATAGTTAAACAATTGTGATGATATATTCTTGGGCTTCCTAGCCTATTTATTTTATACTCTATATTGTTTCCTTAAAATATGCCTAGCATAAAAATGTCCAACACTCTTTGTTATATGTTATAAATGGGGAACCTAAGATTTGGGGTGGATGAATGGCTTGTTCAATTTCTACCTCACATATTCAGTGGTGAAATTAGAACAAAGCCCCACATTTTCTGTTCTCCACCTTCATTAATCTCTATTTGATTAGAACTCACTAATGGTCTGACCTTGAACTCATAGGACTCTTCAATGATGACCTCCAGTTTAGGGTGTTCACCCAGTACTGGCTTTCCCATCTCTGCTATCCTCTTGGCCTCCTCTTCCTCCATAGTCAGCTTCCTGTCTGTCACCTCTGCAACAAAACAAAAATCAGACTAACTTTAGTACCTTTTCCATCCCTAGAAATTTAGAGATCAGAGTATCAGACATGGGCAGTGGGTACAAAGCAAGTGACTGAAGAATGGGGCTATGTATTTTTTAGTATCTTTCTATAAAGGCTTGAACACTATGGTCAAATCACGAGCAGGTTCTTGGTAGGTCTGAGATAAATATTTCATTCTGTTTTATTTCTGGGTGGGAAATCTGACCCAAAGATTTCCCAATAAATGGCACCAAGTGAGGTTCCCAAGTCATTCAGGGTGCTGCTACTGGGGAGCTGGGAAAAGATGTCAAATTCCTTGATCTTTGACTAGTTTTGAGCTGCTGAGTCTGGGCATCTACCACTTCATGTAAGACTTCTGGGAGGCACATGTATCCAAAGGGAATGTCTACCGGTTCCCAGCAGCATCTGCTTCCAACATTGTTGGCACTGTCCCTTCTATGAAGGAGAAAGGGATATCTCCATTTCATACAACTGAATAGCATCCTTGCAGGGAGAAACTTGGACAATTTCCCAAGAAACTTCATGGTGTTCCAATGACAGATCCTCAGGATCTCTGTGCAAGGCAGGCACATTTCTTCTGGAACACAAAAAATTACTCAAAAACAAAATGAAACAGAGCTCCCCTCTCCCCTTTACACTCTTTTTAAGCATTCTCTGTCTCAGCATCTTGACTCATTTATCAATGGTTCCTTCTCATGCTGACAGTTAGGCACCTTTTCCACTTTAGCTGGTAACTCCATTCTAAGACCACTTCACTATGAGACATGTTTTCTGGATTAGAGTGAAATAGAGATTGAATCTTTTTTATTCCCCTTTGATTAGAAAATCGCTCTTGGCAGCCTGTTTCTTTCAGAGCTCATTTAAGCATCTTCCCATCCAAGTCCACATTCTCACATGCAATTAGTTCTTTTATGCAGCTCCTTAATTGCTTTCATTCCACACAGTAAACCTCCTATGGGAATCCACTAGTCCTCGGAAGTCCCAAGGACGAAATGGGTCAGAGGCCAAGAACGTCTTCTTTTCTCTGTAGCTGAGGAATTGCTGAAGCGAGGAGAGGAAACTCAGGTTCTTGAGGCTGCAATAAAAGCAACTCACTGAAAAGACTGTAATATAAACCAAGAGTGGAAACCGTCAAGCAGAGAGACTTATAGCTTTGTATTTTCTTAGCTGACCTGAATGAAGACAATATGAGTGTGTGGGTTCTGATTCCTGAGCTTGCTGTTGCGCTCAGTGTTTCTGCAATGAAAGAGAAGGCAATCCCCAAATTGTCTGGGAGCTGTCCACGGTGCTGCCCCCAGCTAGCGTTGGTGGTCGCTTTTTCTTGAGGATCTAGGTTCCTTTTTACTATTAAATTTGTTCATTGACATTTTCACACATGTATACAACGCCTTCTGCTGATTCTTGCCCTCTTCCCCCTTTTCTCTCTCCCACTCCTATCAAGTCTCTCTCTTCCATACAGTACCCCCCCTTTTTTTTGTATTCATGTGGTGTGCTGTTGTGTTTTGAGACCCAGTGAGTTTAACCAAGGCCATTTGTGCAGTCATGGTTTTGGAACTTTCCATTGAAGCCTGGTGTGTTCACCAGTGATTGCTCAACTGATGACAGTGACTCCCCAGTTCCCAGAATCTATGAGTGGCCACTAGCTCAACCACTTGAGCCCCTTTCCCATTTATGTTTGGCTGTTGATGGGTTCATTCTTGTGCAGGATCAGTGTAGGCCAAGTGTAGTTGCATTGAGTTAATGACTGGAGTGGTCCAGAAGATAGCATTCCGCAGCCCTTCTTCCTCTCTTCCAGCTCTTACATTCTTCCACAATGTTCCCCAAGACTGAGGGGGTGGTATAAAAGTCTTGTTTGTGGCTGAGTTTTCAACCTTCCCTTTCTCTGTCCTTTTGTATATTTCCATGATGGCTGATACTCTCTAGCAGCCTGATTTCACTGACTTCTAATGAGTTCATCTGAAGGTAAACCTGGGAGCTTGTTGGACTACTGATGAGGACAGTGCTTCTAGAAATGGAACTGCATGGCACTCTGGGAAAAATTCCTTAGAAAAAAGAAAGATACCCTAAAAGGGTGGGTTGTCTTTTCCTCTTGCAGGTTCCAGCCTCATATTACATGGCTCATCTCTGCAGTGACAGTGTTTTCCTGCCTTTCCTCCCTGGTTCCTGTGTCATACTTTACATAAGAACTTTACATGTGCCATAAGAACTTTGTACCAATATAATGAGCTCTCCAATGACACATAAATGTACCTGTCTAACCCCCTGTCTAGCTATCAATCTAGCAGTATATCCATCTGGCACATTATTGATCTACCTGCTGACCTGTCCACCCCTGTGGTGACAGTTTTTCTACCTAGTCTTCTGAAAAAATCTGACAAATAACCAATCCTCTATTTTCACGTCTCCCACAGACCTACAGAGGCACTCTGTACATATCTGTTAATCGATTCATATGTGTTTCTATAATCTTGACTAAGTGTCTTGGCAGAAATTCCTGTCTTGTTCCATTTTTTTTGTAATGATCATTACTTTAAGTTCAAATTAAGTTAATTTCTTTAGGTCCCAAACTTCAAATATGATAACAGTTCTGATCACTTGTTTATACGGCTCCTCAGAATTTCAAGTGAAAAGAATAAAGGAGAGGGGATCTTGATATTTAGGCTGACTAAACAAACTCCCTGTTCCAGGAACAGAAAGAGAGAAGGGGAGGTTGGGAGGGAATTGAATATAAATAAGACGGAAGATTGGACAAATATTGGAAGAACAAAGAGCTTTCCAGGCTAGGCAAGGACAGACTGTGAATGCTCTGAAGTCATCCTTACAAAGAAGGGGGTGGTGTGGCCAGAGTTTCAACCCAAGACCCTTCAATTAGGCAAAGTAGTGCAAAATGAACACATTTACTCCTTCATCACCAGGCATTGTTAATCACATTGACCTGACCTCCCTCCCAGAAAATTAAAATAAGGACTTGAGATTTCTGGTGGATTTATAGTCCAAGGACTCTTAAATTAAATGTTTACAGACTGGAAGATATAAGACTGCCCTCGCCATTTACTAGTATTTGAAAGTATGTTAAAAGTATAATGAAGCTTAAACTGAATCTAAATGTGTACTTGCAGGGTGGAGGAGAGGCAAGAGCTAGAACAAGAAATGTCAACATCTTATGCAGGAGTATAGGCAGAGAAGAAAGGCCTGATTCTCTGGGAGAAGAATGCAGAACCCAGGGCCCCAGCTAGCCCTTATCCCACTGGCATTGAAAAGAAATGAGAAGACAAAGAAGCCAGCAATTTTTCAAAAAAAAAAGAAAACGTACTTATTACTTGCACTTTTTCTTTAAGAGTCCAAGGAGACAAATGACCTTACTGTGTTTATTGCCTCTTCCTAAGCCTGAGGGCTATCCTGCAGGTGACTTTCAGTACCACTGAGCTCTGTAAGATGTGTTGCCTCTAAAATGGTCTTAAATTTTTTCTGCATTCAAAGACGTGTAAGATGGTCTTTAAAAACATAGTCAAGCTGTCTTGTGGAGCTTGTATTTCATTTGCACCGAGAAAACAGTTCTGGCAGGTATGGAGAAGTGTTTTCCTTTCTGATAGTGAAGTTTGTGGTGGGCTTCCGCCCATACACACACGCTCTCAAAATAGGTGCATATCCCACACAACATCTAGGTTCTGAATGAGAATCTCTCCAACATGAAATCTATAAATCTATAAATGTCTGCCTTTATTCAGAGCTTGCTCCCACAAGCATTCTTGTTGTTCAGAGCATATGTGACTTTAAGCATCAATGACAAGTGAACTCTAATCTAGCAAATTAGGTCTCATCTGTGATGAGCTGGAAGATCTTTAGGACCAGTAAAATCCAGATTTTTAACAAACTGCATCTCATTTCCACAACAGCTCCTGGTGACTTCCCCTGACTCCCTGGGATGGGTATTTTCTTTTGGATCTCATCACACTCCTATTAGGAGATTCTAACTTTCACCCTTTCTTCTCCAACAACCTAAGAAGGAGATGAACTGAAACACAGGGGAAAGCTATAGTCTGCAATGTTCTTGACAAGTTTTATTTCTCTTCACGGTTCCAGAGATGACTGGCTAGGTATTTACCCACATTCACTGAAGAAAATGATACTCAAGGAATTGTCTACTTCTTCACAATTCATGTAAGGCATCTCCTAGTCATTGGGAGAATCTGTCAGGTTAACTTGATCCCGTAGTTCCTATGAAGTATAGCATTGATCTTAAACCAAATAATGACATTGGGAAGAAATGGAAAAGAGGGGAAAAGGCACCTCTTACCTGAAGATAACAGGAGCGCTGTTTGCAAATGGATACCAGACAAGGAGAGGAAAGAAAAGGAAAGAGAATTAAGGTCCCATCTTGGAAGTATTCCCAAGCTTTGTGGTTTTCTGACAGCATAACGAAAGCAGTCTGCTTAGTAGGTGAGCACTCAAGAACACATGCAGAAAGCAGCATTTGGAGCATGCGCAGCAATAGCAGCAGTAAGAGGTGTGTGAGCAGCTGGAAAGACTGCCGAGAAGTTACAAGAAAGTCATCCCCACACTTTCCCTGCAATCCTAAATGCTAAAGATGGAGGGATGAGGCTGGAGAAACCAAGTGGATGAAACAGAGGTTAAGCTGACTACTGTGATTCACTCTGAAAAGGAGAATCTAGTTATCATGAACACAGTGTATGGTTTTCAGCCCTGATGGAGAAGTTGCCTTGTAATGACAAGTAGAGTACAGGGCTTGAGTGAGAGCTCCAGGTGCCAAGTAGCAGGATGAAAGTCCTGAATGGTGTCCACTTCTGCAACCCTATCTCTAACCTTGCAATCAGATCTGCTTCCCAGTGCCATGGGGTTTCCATGGCTACAAATGGTATATTAGCTAGCATTATGGTCAAAGCTTTGATTTCCTCTAAATGAATGGCATAATGAAAAGATATGCCCTATAGAAAGTTTTCCCCAAACTGTTCCTCTCAAATGATTTATAACTGCTTCTTGGAGGTCAGAGCCATGCCTCTGTGTGCCACCTGTGCCTATCCATGTCCCAGAGCCTAGCAGTGTTCAATAAAGGCTTGTTGCTTACTATTTTGGCAATTGGTAGTCTTTTTGTTCTAGAAAGGATAGGTGAAATCAGAGGTCAGATATTCTGGAACACAGAAGACAGTCATATGAAGACTTTCATGTTGATGGGAGATGATAAAAGCAAGGTCTCTATATGGACTGGAAATAAAGTCAAAGACACACCTAACATGGGTTATCCAAGCCCTTTAATTTCTACTTATGTTAAACTTTCTTACACTGCAAAGACCACAAGTTAAAAAGAATTTCTTGCGGCACACCACATTTTCATCCTAATGGTATCTTAGCATCTCCCCTCCACTCCTCGGCACTTGTCAGATAGAAGTCTAGAAATATCCTGACACATACTCCTGGTGGAGATTGATGAGGAAGGAGAATATGTGTGCATACATGGGAACAGGGGGTGTCTGTCAATTTTTTCCTCTGGTAATCTCTAGGAATGCAACTCATGTCTGGAACCCATCATCTCACATTCACAGACACTGAAGGTATGTGTAGACTCAGAATCCAGATGTCTTAGAACAGGTGACCAAGAGCTGATTTTCCTAGTATTTTCCATCCAGACCAAGAAGGTATTAGGGTAGTGGATATTCTCATCAAATTGATACAGACAGCAAGGGAGAAGGGAGGTTGTTCATTCCATTCCTTCCATGGATCTGAATGGAAGAGCCCTTCAGGCCCCTAAGCTCCAGTAGAGATCGAAGATCCCAACACATTAGTGTACCACCACAGGTCAGATATTCTCTTGCTCTTGTCTTCATGAATCTGAGACTTCCCTCTAAGGAGTTAGGATGCATCTGTGATTTCCAGGTAGGTTAACTTCGAGTGACAGAATATTGCCAGGCTGTTTTCCTTGCTGCTGCTGCTGCTGCTGCTGCTGCTAATGATGATGATAGAATCAAGAATTGAGCTTTCCCCCTGGATGATGATGATGATGATGATGATAGAGTCAAGAATTGAGCTTTCCCCCTGGATTAGTCCCCAGGGTCAGGTGAGAATCATTTATCCCTGCTCAGACACCCCAGAGACGAGCAGGAAAGAAGACAGCTGAAAAAGTGTTTGGGGCACTTGTCAACATGGGTCCCTGGATGTGGAAAGAAGAGCAACAAATGAGACCCATTATTTGGGGACAGTGTTTCCTTTTCCCACCAGAGACTTCTAATGTCCAAGTACTGGCTCACCAGTTCTGACAATGTGGTGGCTCAGTGTTGCTCACCGAAGTCTGCTTCTAGACTCTGGGACTTACTCTCTGCCAGGACAACTACGTTTCCTATTCATCCTCCTTTTTTCCCCTATCCTGGTTGAACAGAACTTTTAATATCAGCTCTGAAATCTGTTGTGTTTGGTCAGAAGAGAGTCTTCTATTTCAAATCCAGTCCTTAAAGAAATGCAGTGTCATTTTGAACACATAGAGATGACACCAGTCTGAATGCCGAAGTCTCTCCTATACAGCAGTGATAATGAAAAGCAATTTCCATGGCACTATCTCTCACTTTGAAAACAGTAGGACGTTCTGCAAATCAGAATGGGTTTTCATTGACTCTGAATCTAGGCAATTAGGTTTTAGGACCTTTCATCTCATGGTCTGATGCCAATATCTGGGAAGAGCTGAGGAAACTGAAAATTAACATCCCAGACTACAGAGCAAGAGGCTGAGAAACAGATGCACTTTTAACTGACAGCTACCCTCTTGGCATCATGGAAGATCTGTGGGCATAGCACACAGAATCCTTGCTGAAATCCTTGTCTTCTTATCTACTCCTTACCTCCTACCCATTCCTCAGGGCTAGACCCCACTGATATCTTCTTGGACTCTCCTTGGTTAAAGAATTCAGTGCCAAAAGGTATCCTTGAATGGGGAATAACCACAGGCCTTTGCATTTGGCCAGGTCTCCTGAAGAGTACAAGGTCATCTTAGGTCACTCTCTGTCCTACTGTTGGTAAGGGTTTTCAGAGAAGGCAGAAGAGCAGTCCTTGTACTTGGAATAAAGGTATGAATGGGTTTCTTTTTTAAAAAACATTTTATCATTTTTATCTTATGTGTATGAGTGCATTGCCTGCACATATTCAAGTGCGCCTGTGTAGTGCAGTGCCACAGAGGTCAGAAGAAGGTGTCAGATTTCATTGGAACTGGAGTTACTGATGGTTGTCAACCACCATGTGGGTGCTGGGTATCGAACCGAGGTCCTCTGCAAGAGCAGCCAGTGCTCTTAACTGCTGAGCTATCTCTCCAGCCCTGTGGGTGGGTTTCTAATGCCTTCCTCCCGTCTGGAGCCTCTGCCTTACATCCAGCTACTTCAATAACATCTGCTGTGCTGCTTTTACTTTTCCTTAAGTAGTTGGGACTGTGGAATTTGGTGATACCGTCTTCCAAAGACCTTGAGTATCTTTTGTTTCCATCCAGTAATGAAGGTGTGTAGTTAGTGCACAAAGGGGATGTGGTGGGAATGAGGTAATGCAGGCGCTAAGATGACTTCTGAGAATATTCTCGAAAGCACGAACTGGAAAATACGCCAGAATACAATGTGAAAGGCAAAGGGAAAACAAGAGAGTCTCTATCTTCCAGCACTCTTTAGTGGTCAGACTGATAGCAGCATCTTATTTAATGAACTGTGGAAAATGGCGAGGTTCTTTCTCTCCCCAAATACTAGATGTATCCAAGCCAGTACAGGTACAGAACTGGTGAGCTCTGGAGACAGTTCCATCAAATGATGGTGACTGACCAATCAAACTTGAGAAGAAGACCCGTAAAGGAGGTTTGGAAGTGTTGCTGTTGAATTCATTCTCACATCTGTTTGCTTTAAGTAGATCCTGGATGTTGAATGTGAAACAGCCAAAGAACAGTCCCCAGAAACATGCTTATGCATCCCTACGTCTATTCCTCCAACGTTTTCAAAGTGGGGGTTTCCAAACATTTTCTTTAAGAGTAGAAAGCCTTCCTTACACTTTCCCTAGTTACAATAATGCCAGTGCCATCGTCCAAGGGATGAACCTCTGTCAGGGATGTTGATTCATGTTCTGAGAATAAGAAGAGAAGGGTCCACTTCTCTAGAGTGGGATGAGAGGTGTCTTGGGGTCTGCGCCATGTCTTCACTTGCAGATGCTGGTGTCTATGAGCTGCCCACCAACTGTCTCCAAGAGCCATCTCTCTCCGCCATCTCTCAATAGCATCACACTGTTCAGAGTATCTTTCTTTGATAACCACAAGTCAATACTCTGGGCCTGCCAATGTCACTTCTTTTCCAGGACCTGCTGGTTCAGAGACCATTTGAACCTAAAGTGATTTCCTTCCTCTCACAGACTCTCAATTTTCTGCTTTCAGTATCTCAGAGTAGCCCAAGTAAATACCCTACTTTTGGCTATGAAGGGTAGAATGGAGCAGATGATATGCCAAAGGGAGGAAGGAGAACTTGGGAATCCAAGCGCAGGACTGCTTCAGGAGCCAGCTCTCTCAGAGAGCTCTCAGAGGCCATGGCCAACTGGTATACCTCCCCATGCCATGGTCTACCCAACCAGGAAAGAGCCAGATAATGCACTTACCTCCAGGAAGGACAGAGAGGCCTATGGGCCACACTGCAAGTGAATAGCCTGCTAAGCATTCAGTAAGGGTTGAGGACTGCAGCTTGAAAAATGTCAAAGCATTATGGCAACAGGGGTCCCACCCTCCCTTCCGACCTTCTGACTGGTGGTAAGGAAAGGGGCACAGGCATGCAACACATCATATTCCTTTTTTTGTCTTCTCCTCCCCACCCACCAAGGAGTTTCCAAGTTTATAGGCTACAGTATGGGGGTAGAGAGTTGGGGGAAGTGCAGGGGACAGTGTTAAGTGGGTAACTGGATGATTTCAGCACAACATAGAAGTAACTCATTAGGGCAATGAGGAGCTGAGGCCGCAGTGCTGCCCAGAAGGCAAGTAAGGAGGAGTTTGGGAATAAATGATGGTTAAGAAGGCAGAGATGACACCGAAACAGGAGAGCGAGAATACAGGGGGGAAAAGTCAAAATTTCCATCAAAAGGAGGAAGGAGGAAATGGGAAAAAAAGGTGGGGATGGAAATAAAGCTGCTTTTCTTCTTAAAATTGTTTTCTCATTTGTTTAGAGTTCTTTTTTTTTCTTTGTCTTTTCTCATTTGTTGTTGATTTTAAAGAATCTCACACCTGATATTCCACGTTCCATCCATTTCGGTTCACCAAGGGCAATGAAGAAATTCTCTTGCCTTTCGTATTCCTCCTCATCTACTATCTTAACCCTTATGGTTTTCCTGTAGGAACAACAAGAAAGAGAATGTCGACTGGGTGGGCAGGTTGGTCGGTCACCTGGAGCACAGCCTTTAACATCATTCCCAACACTCTTGGCACATGCAGCCCCGTCCCGCCACAGTGGCCTTTGACAGGACTACGGTGGATTGTGCTGTCTCATATAAAAAATGCTTTGAGATTTTCTTGTCTCCTTGGTCATAGTTGTTCTTATGGGTAAGACGGAAAGGGAGCCAAGAGGCCAAGGACAGATGGGCAAAGGAAGGGAGTGGAAAGGAGGGAGGGAGGGAAGGAAGGAAGGAAGGAAGGAAGGAAGGAAGGAAGGAAGGAAGGAAGGAAGGAAAGAAGGAAGGAAGGAAGGTTGGGATGATGGGGGGGAGGAGTCATTTCAGATTCTGCCAATGGTTAGTAGGAAGTGAGTCGGGCAGCACATTCCATTGGTGTCACATGGTAATGGTGGCATTTCTTTGGGCAACAGAAAAAGGACCTGACCACTAGGAATGACCCAGATCCCTTCCACAACGGACAATATATTCATGGAACCCAGGGCTTGGGTTCTTTTTTTGGTCTATATTCACTCCTTACATGAGTCTCATTTAGAAAAATTTTAAAGGAAAACATTCATGAAGAGGGAGACTGAAGAGAGAGAGAGAAAGGGAATGGGGAGAAAGACAGGAAGGATTCTATCATCTTTCTCATTCTTTATCTCATAGGGAGCTTCAGGGGTGGGGACCAACATAAATGTGAGCTGCAGTATGATACAGGGATTCTTTACTGTTGACATCCCTGTCATGGATGGATGGTATCTCTCAAGGCTGACCTTCTAAATGCTCGTTAACCTGTGTTCAGGACACAAGATGATGGAGGTTTTTGCTCATTACTATCTTAACATAGTATAGTGTCTCTTAGAAACAAATCATCAGAAAGCAGAGTTCCTTGAAAGTTAGTCCCTTCCAAAGGCTGGTTCAGGCCCACAGTCATGTGGAGAGGTTGCAGTGTGGGCCTGGTTCTTCATGCGTGGCTTTTCTTGATCCTTCCTAGAACCGCAGTGGTGGTTTAGCAAGTCCCATTCTTGGGGGAAGGGAGTGAGCAATGGGACCCGGATACTCTCAAAAGGCAAAGAGAATGAATGAATGACAGCTTAAATGTCCTCAGATCCTCTGACATTCCTTTGCCATTCTGAAGATATGCTTCACTTTGCTACTGATAAATCAGGAAGTGAACGTGGGATGCTTTGTTGGGTCTAGATTTACTGTGTGTGTATGTGTCTGTCTGTCTGTGTATGAGTGTGTGTCTGTGTGTCTGTGTGTCAGTATGTCTGTGTCTGTGTACGCATGCCTGTGTGTGCGTGTGTGTGTGTGTGTCTGTGTCTGAGTGTGTGTGTGTCTGTGTGTCAGTATGTCTGTGTCTGTCTCTGTGTATGCATGCCTGTGTGTGTGTGTGTGTGTGTGTGTGTGTGTGTGTGTATGTGTCCTATACTTGGGATACTTTATATATTGTTTAGTGGACAAAAGACAAAGCTGACTGATTGTTGAGCATTTGGAGGGCAGAGCTTTCTCATGGCCCTAGACAGGGGATGCTGAAGCTGTCTACAAGATGTGAGTCTATTTTTCTGCTGTAGGGACTCTGATGTGAGGTAGGAATGGGTGTGGCTTAGAGAGATAAGATGATGACTTGGCCAAGGAAATCTGAATCGTAATCTGGCAGCTCCTCCCCCACATTAAAATCTAATTTAGGAAGGGTATCTTGACTTCTTGTTGGAGGCCAGAGGTATACAGGATTATTCAGAATGAAAGCAAGACTCTGTTCATTCTGAGGAGTCTCATGGACTTGCCGGAAAAGTTTTCCTTGGGTCAGAATTCTCTTCCCTACTATTTCTGTCTCTCTGCTGCCACAGCTAGCTTGCCTTAATAGAGAGAGTTAAGTAAGGCAGGCAGATGGAGGCTTCCAGCTCTTTCAAGGTCAGGGAGAGAAATAAGCTTGGATTGTAGGAATGTGGCAGATAAGATGGTCTCTAAGGGCTGCTTTGGAGAGTGGGATGAAGGATGATCCAAATAAAATTCCCTGGAATATAAGCTTAGTTTTGGGAATAGCTATCCCATGGAGATCTGTACCGAGAGTCCGTTTCCCATGCTCCCTCACGCTTGTGCAGCCTATCTGTGCTTCTCTCCTGCACACTGAGTCTCAGAGAGCCCGAGTCACCATACTCTCAGAGTATGGGTCTTGGTCTCTCTCTCTCTCTCTCTCTCTCTCTCTCTCTCTCTCTCTCTCATTTTGTCATCCCAGAAAAATTGCGTTGGTTCTTGAACACCTCTCTTATGGATACCATGTGACAGGTTGGCAGGTGTTAGGACAGAGAGAGGAGGAGAAGTGAATAGACTAAGAGAGGAGGAAACAGGAAGACAGAAGGCAAGAGAAAGAGGAGAGAAATGAATCGAGAGGAAGAAAGGAAGAGGAGAGAAGAATGTTACTGTTAGTGTGGAGGACAGGGTACTACACCTTTCTGAAAACTCATATCCACCATGCGGGGGCCCATCATCTCAATGAAGTAATTCTTGTTTTTCTCATACGCCTCATCATCAATTACCTTGATGTGAACTGTTTTGCTGTGGATGGAAAAATAAGTATCATAAGCAAGGAGCAGAGTGGGTAAGCCAGCTGGAGAAGAAACAGGAAGAGAAGGAAACAGAGAGATCCAGAAAGGTCCAAGTTGGCCCCAACATCACAGGTGCATAGAGGAAAGTGGCTGCCCTGGCCACCTCCAGCCTCAGTGGGTCCCTCCTGGGTTTCATGTGGCTGCATTGTAACGATACGTGAAGACTGGAGAGAGCTCAGGCTTTATAGCCAAAAGCTCTGAGTACTAATCTCAGATATGATGTGTGATCTTGGACGAATAATTTAATCGATATACAGACAGGAGAAATATGTTTACACCATCCCACAGTGGTTGTGAGGACAATCAAATAATTCACCATCCCCTCTTACCCCTGAGGAATATGTTTTAAGACCCCAATGAACATCTGATTCCACAGATAGTACTGAGCCTTGTATATGCTACCTAAGCATACCTATGATGAAGTTTAATTTATAAATTAAGCACAAATAGTGATTAACAGCTAATAATAAAATAGAAGAATTATCTGATGGGCATGGTGGCACACACTTGCAACCCCAGCACTTGGGAGGCTAAGGGAGAAGGATCACCATGAGTTTGGGGCCAGCATGGACCATATAATGAGTTTGAGGGCAGCTTGAGCTACATAGCAAGACCCTGTCTTAAAGCAAAACAAAAATTATTAACAGTATTCTGTAATAAAAGTTATTTAAAACTTACACATGGTTTACTTCGAGTTTCCCCTTTAGTATTTTCACACACCGGTTTATCACAACCAACTGAAACTGTTTTGCTTCCCCACTTAAAAATTATTAATGCATATTAACTGTACATATTAATGGATTTTACCATGACATTTTCAGACATGCATATATTGTACTTGCCAGTAGCTGTCCCCACAGCCCTGTCTTACCTGGTCCTCTCCCTGCTCCCGCAGTCCACTCTGAAGAGTGATAAGGGGGCTACTGTGTACATAAGAAGGCTGAGGTGGTAGGCTCTCTGAAGAGTTTGCAGAAATATCCCTCTTGTTTGGGGGACAAGGCAGAATTTTTGACTTTTAGAACCATCTGATGATGATTACAAGTGCTTATTTTATAGAAAGAACAGATATAGAGGGACAAATAGGCTTGTGGGAATCTTGTCCAGAATGGCAGAATCTCTCCCTTCCTGTATGGTGGTGGTGATCACAGGAGAGATGCTTGACTTTCATCCCACATTGTCTAATTCACAGTGCCTGGGAGGCGCTGTCTACAGACAAGTTGCTGCAGTGGAGGGCAGGCTCTCTGAGTTGGGATAGGTATCTAAGTTCTACAGTGATCCTTTGACCAGCACTACAGTATCCCATAGTGCTTTGTATATCAAAAGTGCTATTCTGTAAAGTAAACATTTATGTGACTGTTCTGTGTCCCCCTTCCCACCATTACCTCTTCTCCTTTTTTTCTGTAGTTGCTTTTGTAAGACCTGTGCCTCTCCCCAGTTGTTGCTTATGAGGGGAAATTTCAGAACCAGACCTCACTCAGCACATTTCACCTCCCCTGGAGGGTACGGGGCACTGCCGCCGTTGTGGCATGGAACTGCATCTCCCTGCAGCACTGGGGATACAGAGAGTTGCAGGACCCTCCTCAGACTCAGGCTTGGCCTTTGCTGAGGAGGCCTTCTGCTCCCACCTTCAGTCTAGTACCTTTACAGTCAAATACCTGATGGTCTAAGTTAGCTTCTTTGCTCTTCAAAGTTTCCCCAAATTACCCTAGAGTTTGGGTGGGTGTCTGTGGCGTCTCTGTTGACTCACCTAACGCATCCATCCCTCCTGAACTGAACGTAACAACAGTCTCTCATTCTACCCTGGATCTTGCCACTATCTGCTTTAAAATGGCACTGTAACCTTGATCACCTCCATAACCACTGCAGTCCCTGAAAACCCGATAGTCACTGTGGGAAGCATGTCCTTAGAGTCTGTGAAAGCCACAGCACTACGGCCTTCCTTCTTTCAAGGGGCAGAGACTGATGGTCTGGTTTGAAATCTGTCCTCCACCTCTCATCATCTGGGTAGCCTTGGGTAACTTGCTGAAGTCTTCAAGGTGTAAAACGTTTCAAGTGTGAAGTCTCAGGTATGAAACGGCACAATACCTGCTACGTCATATTCTTGAGACAGCACACTGGAAGCACATGGTGGGAAGTGTGTTCTCTACTGAGTGTTTAACAAATAACAGCCATCATTACAAAGTATCATAAGGGCCCCTGTTTGGTAGTTTGGGAGTCATATATATGGGGATCTTTTCATCCCCAGGCATTAAATCAGAAAATAAGGGAAAAATCAATGAATAGTATGGTGTGGAAATAGAAGTCAAGTCAAGAGACGACTGGATGAAACAAGATTAATAGATCCCAAAT